GTGTGTGTGTGTGTGTGTGTGTGTGTGTGATATATATACACATGTTAGATAAACATTATCTATATGTATATATAGACCATCAGATTGGTGTCACATTGTCATCAGTCTCAGTCTGTATTTGCTTTATGGTTCGACGGTTGTCACTCGAAGATATTGTAGTATAGCTTGACATGGTCAGAAGAATTGACACACTACATTTATGCATACATAAGCAACCTATCAGTAGACGATAGTACGACTGTGTATATAAATGACAGGCATATACGAATAAAATCGGCCCAGCGAACGCCAAACACTTGAACTGGCCGATTAAGCAGTATACAAACCATAGCTCTACACCACCTAGTCTGCACAGAGACCCTTTGCCACTTACACTCCAGTTGTACAGGCCCTGCTTGTCGTACACATTCTTGGCATCGGGAATATCTGGTAGTAGTGCGCTCTCCACAATGACGACAATCCGCTTATCCAACTCCCAGAGTTGGCCCATGGTTACGGTTGCCAGGCAGAGTTCGTCTTGGAGTGTGACCATATAGTGCTTAAACTTTGCCAACAGCATTTGGCACAGCTTCTCCTTTAGCGGGTGGGTCAGTTGCTGGTGTGAGATACGAAGCGAAGGCAACAAGCACGGAGATAAGATTGTGTTCACTGTGTGTCGTATATCGCGTGGCTGGACCGATGCAGATTGTATGGTTATTCACGTACCGTATATACATGTTTCACGATACATATAACCCGTAAACCCTAAAACAAGTACAGGTTTCATATAGATGAAGCGACCTTCTTTACAAAGCAGAAAGGTCCATGGAGACTAACGAACTACTGATACCTAACACCACAGTGTTTTACATACAGCAGCGGAGGTAGATTCCATAGTCAGCACTACAAACTCCATGGGGTGAGTCGTTATGAAGTCGACAATCTGATCCAAATGACTCTCTGTGTCACTGCCCCTGGCCAGCCAAGAAGGTCCGTGTACAGGCCTAATCTCGCCTTTGTATTGGCCCGGGCGCATGTCGAGATGGCGTATACCTGCGTGTGTGTATGTCCGTATAAGGTAAATCTAGAGCAGCCAATTTATTTGGTAGTATACAACTAATCACCGGTAGATGTCGTATACGTACACCTGAGTGTGTCGCCATGAGTTTCAGCAATCAACGCGTTAATGGTAGATGGCGTACACTTGAGTAAGTGCAAGGGTACAGCAATCACTTGGTATGTCAGCAATTAAAGAAGTATTGGTAGATGGCACATACTGAAGTGTGCACAAGTACGTATATACCCAACACACTGATGAACGTGCGCAAGCTGTTGTAGGTACTTCGAGACGGGAGTATTGCTTGCCGGACATGTGCCCAGGCCAAGCGAGTGTATTGTAATGCAATGAGAGACGCACACGAATTGTGTGAGGGAGAAGCGGGAATGCATCCTTTGATAACTGTAAAACAATACTACACGCTGGTATTCACATTAATCTCGATGGTTTATAGTGCAAAAGATCGTGCTACACACTTCGTCGCGATAGTATGTTTAGGTGGTACTTCACCTTGGATTCGCTGTAATGTACTGCATATTGTAATTACAACCGCCGTGATACTAGTAATAGGTGGTTATTCACATTCAAAAAGATGGGTTACAATGCAAGATCGTACAAACTTAGCGACATTAGGTGTAGGTGGCTACTCACATTGACCTCGATGGATTATCAATATAATGGGTACCGTCTGGAAGAGATAGAAGACAACTACATGTGACTCCGAGTGTATTTACGCCTATGCTGCATCGCAATTTGTCGTTATATAAGCACTGGCATCCAAAAATATATTATATTAATATATATATATATATATATATATATACTATATATATATATATATATATAGTGTGTGTGTGTGTGTG